CCCCCCCCCCGGCTCGGCAGGAGCTCGGAGAGCGCCGCCCGCCCGGCCGCCGCGGCAGGGAACGAGGCCCGTCATCTACGCCCGGGCCCACGTGCTCGGCGGTCCTGGAGGGGCCGCTGCAAGTGTCCGTCGGCACCCAGGGGGCCCCCGATGCCTTTGCCCCGAGTCCGACCCCCTGGCTTGTCGGGATCGGGGCTGCCCTTTCAGCCCGGCCGTAGCTCTCCTCCTGCTCGCCGAATCGGGCGCTTTGGGGGGCCTGAACCGCCGGGATCTTTCGCCGCAGGGACCTTCTGCCGTAGGGTAGCCGATTGTGATACAGAATCAATGGGATATACTTATTTCACGATAGGCGCTCAGGAATAAGGAAGTCAATCTGGCTGGTTGAATGCTATTCCATTTGATTATGAGGTGGTACTCGCAGACTGGAAGCCTAGAAATTAGCAAGAAATAATTTCCTTCCCACACGTCTGATTTTATGATACTTTAGAAGATACCACAGACATGAAAAAAAATATAATGAAAACCTTAATACTGCCATTTGGAATTAATCTACATGTACTTTTCCTGATAATTTAGGGATCAACTGCACATGCTTTAAGTGAACTGAGAACACAGAGGGAAGGTGGCAGTTGGGGTGGTGGTGGTGGAAGGAGAGAGTCCAGCCGGGCCCCCTTCTCCCGGGCACCTTCGTTTTCTCCGCCTGAGGGATACCCGACGAAAAGCCCAATGGACACAGTGAGCACAGACAAGGGAGGGGAAGGAGCACTGGGGAACTGGGTGGGTCGATGGCAGGGGCTCATTCCGTAGAAAAAGAGTTGCAGGAGCTCATTGGCAGAACCTATTTGCATAGGCCACACCCCCTCACATCACCGGAAGTGTGTCAGAAGGCAACACCACCCACCCTCTGCTCAGGCTCCACTGGACTCTTTTGGGTTGTTCGCTATTGGGGGGGGGGGGAACATGCAGATCTGTCCTCGCAGAGGAGGGAGAGCTTGTGCCTGAATAAAACCTGATCTTAAAGGTGCCACTGGACTGTTTTGGACTGGGGGGCTGGGGGAGCTCTGCAACGTACCTGGCTGCTTCTTGCTCTGACTGAGGGCTGCTGGGAGCAGGGGGTGGGGCTTCTTGCATGTGCCCACCCCCTGGGCTCTTTACTGCTGGAGCTCTGCTCCTGTGTGCTCCTGCAGGAAATGACCCCTGGGTTGATGTCAGGTAGTGACACTTCTTAACATTTACAGATTTGTGTTTGAGTATTCAAGGCGTCCATTTTCTTAGCAGGCACCGAGGCTGAAAGAGCCCTGCCGACTGAGGACCCTTGGCTTCCTTTATGGAGCCCGTCCAACTCATACCCGTTCATCATCATCTTTTGTTGCCTTCAACTTTTCCTAAAATTATTGTCTTTTCCATTGTCTCTTGTTTTCTCACAATATGGCCAAAGTTATGATAGTCATTTTATTTAGTTATTTAGTCATTTTAGCTTCTAGGAAGAGTTCAATCTTGTTTTGAACTAGAGCCCACTTATTTTTTGGTAGTCCACAGGACGTGTAAAACGCTTCTCCGACACCATATTTCCAAGGGGTCTGCTTTCTTCCTGTCTTCAGTGTCCAACTTTCACACCCATACGTAGTAATGGGAAATCGTAGAGTGTGAATTATCTTGGTCATCGGCAACACGTCCTTACCCTTAAGGATCCTTTCTAGTTCCTTCATGACTGCCCTTCCCCGTCTTAATCGCCTCTTGATCTCTTGGTTGCAAGTCTCCCTTTTGGGTGGTGGTTAAGTCAAGGAATAGTAAATCTTTAATAATTTCGGTTTTATTTCCTGTTATTGCTTGTATCTTACTAAGGCTCCATGAGTTGAGTTCATGATGGTTGTCTAACATTCCTGCCACCTGGTTGTTACAATTTGGTTTTGTAGGTTTCCTTCTCTGCCCCACTTCTAGTGCCCTGTCACATCTGTGGAATAGCTTCCCATTTGTTTGTCATTAAACTCAAAGTCCTATTTAAACTCAAAGGCATGTCATGTTTCGTTGTGATTTTGTTTAATGGGCATGTGCTTAATTTAATTTTGTAAGGGTTTTTTTGTGGGGGGGAATAGCCATGTTTGCTGCTGCCCAAAAAGTTGTGGCACTTTAAAGTGTGGTGTGTTATCTTTAAGAACACTGTCAACTTCTTAATTTGGGGAATACTTAATTGAGATCTAATTTGACAGCAGCCATGTTTGTGTGAATAGTTTTTCTCACCTGTCTGCTAAGGCAACTTGCATGGCCTTCCACATTCTATGAGATAAGGTGTAACTCGCCTGCAGCGTGAGAAGAATCAGTGTGCAGAGTGGGGCAAAGTTTTTATGGATATGGGTCACTTCTTTGAGGGTTTGAAAAGTCCAAAGAGGTTTCTCCCCTAGCATTGTGTCACGGGATCTGATAGAATAAAACTAACGCAAGAACGGTGTGTGTGTGTGATGCAGTTGCATCCTTTGAAACCTTTAGCAAGTTAGATAACATTGAAGAAGGAGAGGGTGAGGCTAGGATCATTAAGAGGCTACGTGAAGTACATTGCAGTATAAAGTGAAAAGGATGAGCGTGTATCTCACACATACACTTGCTCAACTGAAATCATTATCACCAAAGACAAGTATTAACTCAGAAACCTAGATCCTCAAGGAGTGAGCACTGCTTGATATGAGCTGCCTTTCTGCTTGGTCTAAAAAGATATAATAAGGGGTCACGGTGTGCAGATACATGCCAACAAACAAGAAACCACTGTGATAAAATGTGTCATTGTCATTTTATCACAGTGGTTTCTTGTTTGTTGGCATGTTTCTGCTTGGTCTGGCAGTGACTCTCCAGGGTCTCAGGCAGAGGTCTTTCACATCACTTGCTATCTGATCCTTTTCACTGGAGATGGCACCAGGGATTCAACCTGGGACTTTGTACTGATGATTTGCCACAGAGTCATACCTGTCCAATGCGCAGGCATGAGAACACTGTGCTACACGCAGGTATAATTGGGGAGTATCACTGAACCAATCCTGCTGGTGGCTTAATAGAGGTGGAGAAAGCGAAGCGAAGAGGATGCATGCTGAAGAAAGAGCCCACGCAGCGGATGTCGGGCCGTTGCCATTGCAGGAGTGTTCCACACAACAGGATGCCAGCTGTCCATCCCCCATATTAGCTTCATGTGCTTGTCACACGATGCAGAAATTATTATTAATTTTTAAGAAATAAAGCTAACTTGTTTCTTTTCCAAAAAAGGACAGGTTAATGCTCACGTATATTGTAAGGTATTCATTCTGTCTGGACATTACACACACACACACCCTATCATGGTTGGGTGCTGCTTGTCTGCTTTTTGTTTTCTGTTGTCTTGGCACTCGTCTTCGTAAGTTCTCCCTGGTTCAGCCAGCCCTGGATGTTGAGCAATGGCCAAAGCTATGGTTTGTGAGTTCAGACATCCTCCCAAGCCATTAACTGTATAGTGTGATGTCTGAATGGAACCATCGTGTGCCATGCATTTTTATGCTGATCTATCTGTTATGGCAGTTTGCCAGCACTTGAATATTCTTACGGAGTCTCCCATTGTACCTGTAAGTTTGGGCTTCAGATCTTCATATGGAATTCCATTGTGAATAGAGCTGCATTTAGATCAAATTGGATAGCTGTGTTAGTCTGGCTGTAGCAGTAGAAAAGAGCAAGACTCCAGTAGTACCTTAGAGACAGACAAAGTTTGTGGCAGGATATGAACTTTCGTGAGTCACTGCTCACTTCTTCAGATACAGACTCTTGCTTTTTTCTAGAGTTGCATTTGGTTGTTATACAAAACTACTTTTGTATAAACTGGATTTTTAGGAGGTTGAGAAAGCTAATGTGTGGTGGTTCTTTTTTTTATCTATTGGTGCAGAAGATGCCACCTGCAAAACATCCCTTGTGGGGACAAAATCTGACTCTTTATTGGCAACCTTTCATCATCTTGGTGTAAATGAGCCTGCCTGCTTCTAATGTTGTGAGGAGGACGATCACCGAGGAATACAGATTAATATTGGAAATCCATATGCTGCCAACTTTGTAAATGCTTAGTACAACTGAATAGAATAAAGTTTTGAGTCCAGTGGCACTTTTAAGACCAACAAAGTTTTATTCAAGGTATAAACTTTCATGGGCAAGCACACTTCATCAGATACAGTGGAACAGAATCTCCTCAACCATTATTTATAGGGAGTGGAGTGGGGTTTGTTGTCAGGAAGGTCCATTAGAGTCAAGATGGATAAGTACTGGGTGATTATAGCTGAGACTGGTTGTAAGAAAGATCTGTGAATGGCAGTAAATCAGCATACAAATTCAAGAGTTAACAAACAGATGTGGGTAAGAGGTTTGAGTTCAGTGACACCTACTAGACAAAGTTCAATTCTGCGTTGAAGTGAGAACTGAGAGACTTAATAGTAGGGACACTCCCTCAGATTCATTGAAACAGATTTCCTCAACTATTACATATAAGTAGGCGGGGTTAGTTACCAGGAAGAACTAATTAAAGTCAAGATGCCTAAGTAACTGAGTGATAAATACAGGTAAGATTGGAAGAGCACATTCGGTGAGACATGTAAATAGCAGTAAGTTGGCATACAGATAATAAAGGAAAGCTGTTGGGGAGCTTCCTGCCAGCATGGCTAATGATCCTGCTGATCCACCAATGGAACAAGGAAGAGACCTGGAAGGCTGATATAGTTGCTCCTAGATACCCTGTCTGGCTGAACAGAGCCTATTCATCATGTCCTTGATAAGGCACTGAAACGCCAAGAACTATGGCTAGCATGGAAGTTGGGGGACGTGTGGATGCCCAGTTCAAGGTCTGTCTGTGTGTCAGTCATGCAGCAAATGAAAGCTACCTGTTGCACCTAGGTGGTGGGTGTCCAGCAAAGGTCCCATACATTGTTGATTTTGTAAAACAGTGAATCTTTGGAAACGGTACCTCTCTTTTATTTTCTGTGGTTAGGTGTGATGTAGTTTTAAAGTTCTTGGTTTTTTCTCTCACTCAAAGTATCTAATGCTGCCACCAGGGATTTAATTCCAAGCCGTAGTTCTGATAAGAGCTGTTCTTGAAAGAGAGCAGTTTCTGTCAGAGCTCTCTCAACCCCACCTACCTCACAGGGTGTCTCTGTTGTGGGGAGGGGAAGGGAAAGGAGTTTGTAAGCCGCTCTGAGACTCCCTTGGGTAGTGAAGAGCGGGGTATATATCCAGCCTCCTCCTCCTCTTCTTCTTGTTCCCTTTCCCACGGTATTGTGCCCAAGCTCTAAGGCTCCATCGCTGGACTATGTGGTTCTGAGGATGAGACTCTTGTATTTTAAACAGCTTATGACCCTCTGTTAACAATAAACAAGATAAAACTTTATTGGTAAAAGAAGCATATCGGTTACACAAGATGTTTTGTTACGTTGCTCAGAAAAATCTTTCGCTTTTTACTCAGGTCTTTGTCAGCTTTTCCCCTCACACTCTTAAGATACTCTGACTATTTTAGATTTTGCCTAATATGCCTCCTTAAGTATATTTCTTCCTCCTCTAGAATCTTAATGCCTTTTACAGCACTTCTATATGATTGCTTCTCAGACTCCGTATAGGTTGACCACATTGGACACCTTCTGACTGCTGACTTCAGACTCTGCCCCCCCCCCTCTCTCTCTATATATATATATACACACACACACACACACCCCTCCTAGCTCTGCCCACACTCAGTCACCAACCAATCACCTCACTCACTCATCTCCCTCTTTCACACACACCCTTATTCTTCTAACACTTACCAGCCATTTAAAGGAACACACACATTCAACTTTGAAATCATTACATGGACAATTTTCCACAGAAAAATGAAGGAGTGGAAAAGTTTACATTCTGCTTAATATAGTTTGCACTAAAGAAGAGTCTACAAAAATGGAGATTTCCAACAATAACAGAAAAGCCAGCATTAAAAATTTAAAAAAACAGTAAAAGCATAATAAAACAGATATGGTAGTTAAAATCCAATTGTATGGAATGTAAAACACTCTGGAGAATACTAGTGTTCTTGCCTGACACTTGGAAGTATGTAAACAAATGTTAGGCGAGCCCGTGCTTGGTGTGGAGTCAGCCCTGGTCCCTTAAAGGGCAGCTTGCATAGAGAAAGAGACAAGAGCACAGCCGTGCTGATTCTCTTTGATCTCTGGCTTCTGGTCCCATGCTGTCTTTCTGGATTATCTCTTTCGATTGGGTGGGATGGGGAGAGATAATAGTTTGGTTCCTAATCAGCAGGTAGATTATTGAAGGGGCTGCTAGGGGCTTTCTGCTCCACTCCGTGACAAGTGCTTAGAGGAATGCTGCAATGCCATCTGGTACGCTAGTTGTCAAGGAGCTGCAGTGGCTCAAGTGGTTAAGACGCTGAACTGCAGGCTGTGGAAGGTCAGTAGTTCAGCAGTTCGAGACCCGAGTGCGCCGCATGACGGCGTGAGCTCCCATCTCTAGTTCCAGCTCCTGCCAACCTAGCAGTTCGAAAGCAAGACATTGCAAGTAGATAAATAGGTACCACTTCGGTGGGAAGGTAACAGCGTTCCGCATGCCTTGGTGTTTAGTCATGCCGGTGACATGACCACGGAAACGTCTTTGGACAGCGCTGGCTCTTCGGCTTTGAAACGGAGATGAGCACTGCAACCCTAGAGTCGGACTTGACTGGCTTTCGAGCAAGGGAACCTTTACCTTTACTTTACGCTAATTGTCACCTACATGACAAAATTCCCTGAGATTGTCAGGGCATTCGGATGAGGTGTCATCAGTTGATGATATTCATCTCTGCTTCTGATCCAGGTAAGGCCATCTGGTCTCCTCAATAGGTGGCAGTGGCGGGCTGGAAGAGAGTGAGCCGGCAAGCCATCTAGAAGAGATGAAGACGGGAACTGGTGACCGTGGGGGTGGGGTGGGGAGCTTGTCCTGCTCTAAGTAGGATGCAACCCCCCCCCCTTAAGGAGCAGGCCTGTGTTTGTGTGCTCCTGGACCCATTATAATGACACCCTGTAGCGACCATGGCCAGGAGCACTTTTTACCTGCATCAGCTGCTCTGCCACCCATGCTCCTGAGAAACTATGACCTCTGGAGAAGACAGTTTAAATTTAGTTGCAGTAGATGAGTCCATGGGGTGCTGTGCCCAGTTCCCAGGGCGTGTGAAAATTTCAGTGCAGTCATAACAAGAAGAGCGGGATTATCGGGTCAGATTTTTCAGTTGCAAGGGATATGGTTTTGTGGTTCCTAATGTGTTTCTCTTTCCTTCCCCTCCTGCAGGTAGAGACTGAGTTGGGGATGTGAGCACAATGAGCGTAAACCAGCAAGCTCACACCGGGCCACCTTACGGGCAGCCTCAGCCTGGATATCCCGGGTATCCGCAGCCTGGCTATGGAGGACAGCAGATGCCAGGCATGGCTCCCTCTCAGTATGGTGCTTACAATGGTCCGGTGACAGGATACCAGCAGATGGGCCCTCCTCAAGGTAGTCAATCCATCAATCAATCAATAGACCTTTAATGGCATATACAACATTAAAATCAGCGACAGTAAATGACACAATCAGCTAAAAGTCTGAGATAATTATAAAATCATGAAACAGAGTTTCCCAAATTTTTCACTCTTATCACATCAACTAAAAAATTGGCCACTGCCACAGTAATCTCTGCTGTTGTATCATTCAGTAGAATTCGACATTTTATTTTATTGGAAAGGTGATGTTTATCATGCAACCAAGTATTTAACCATTTTTCCCTACCAGATGCATGCAACGAACAGTCTAACAGTATGTGATCAATTGAATCAAGAGAGTTAGAGCCACAGTCACATCTCCGTTCATGCTTGGGAATATTTTGAAACCTACCATGCAGTACTTTTGATGGAAAGGCATTTACTCGTGCAAGGGAGAAAGCTCTTCGATGGCTAGGACTATCAAGATTATACAAATACTGGGGAATACATCCCACACCCTCAAGGTAGTCTTGATGGGCATTAAGGAGGGGCCACAGCCTTCTTGTGAGGTTGACCCTTTATTTCAAGCATTGCACTTTGCCTTCCAGCCCTCCAAGGAGTCATCAAGATAGCTTTTGTGACTTAAAAATCAATTAAAAATGTTAAAAAACCTTCATTAGAAGGACTATTGATTTTTTCCACAATTAAACATTTGTCGATGTTTTTCTACTTCACAACAAAGTTCGAGTCCAGTCAGGCACCTTTAAGACCAGCAAAGTTTTATTCAAGGTATAAGCTTCCACGTGCATGCAAGTCTTCTTCAGATACTGTGAAACAGGATTTTCTGAACCATTACAAATAGGTGGGTTGTTAGTTGCCAGGAAGGGCTAGTTTGAGTCAAGATGCATAAGCAACTGGGTGATTATAGCTGAGATTGGATTAAAGTAAGATCTGTGAATAGCAGTAAATTTGCATACAAATGCAAGCGTTAACAAACAGATGTGGGAACTAAGTTTGAGTCCAGTGACATCTCCAAGGCCAACAAAGTTTCGTACTGGGTATAAGTAAGAACTGAGTGACTTAGCATGTAGAGTGATACAAGAAGCCAGTATCTTTGTTAAGCCCTGGGGGTTCCATTGTCCTGAGTGTTGTAATAACATGTAATTCAGCAGTCTCCCATTCCAGTCTGTTTCTGAAATTCCTTTGCAATAAAACAGCTACTTTGAGGTCCCACGTTGAGTGCCCTGTAAGGTTGCTATGGTCCCCTATAGGTTTCTCTGTTTTGTGATCCTTGATGTCAGATTTGTGTCCATTTATCTTTTGACGCAGGGTTTAACCTATTTGCCCTATGTAGAAAACTGAAGGGCATTGTTGGCATTTACTGGCATATGCAATGTTAAAAGAACAGGTGAATAAGCCTGAGATGGTGTAGTTGATATTATTAGGTCCAGTGATTGAGTTGCCTGGGTGTCTGTGGCAGCAAAGTTGGCATCTGGGTTTATTGCAAGCTCTGGTACCAGTGTCCATGTTCAAATTAGATGTTGTATTATTGTGGGTGAGGAGTTGTGTGAGATTGGGGGGCTGTCTGTGCACAGGAAAAGGTTTGCCCCCCCCAGTACTTGTGAAAGAGAACTGTCATTATTCTGTAGAGGCAGGGGTGGCAAAATGTGGCTCGGAAGCCACATGCAGCTCTTTCACATATGTTGTGCGGCTCCTGGCAGGGCAGCCGGGGAAGCGAAGGGGAGGCATATTTTTCCCCTCCCTCCCTCCCTCCCTCCTATTTGCTTTCTTTTCTCTCTCTCTTCTTTCCCTCTTTCCACCTCTTTCATTCTTTCTTTCCAGGATTGGAGGAAACTTGTTTCTGGCCAGGACTCAGAATCTTGGAAGGGGGGTAGTTGTCAGGTGTCTTGCCGTTGCACGTGTGAGCCACAACAGAGAGTATCCGGGATTGTGTCTCAGCAGGGCATGGATTAAAGATAGTCTCTCAGATATTGAGCAGCTTGCCACCTTTAGCATTTTGGCACAGCAGAAGAGTAGGGTGGGTGTGCTTTGCAGTCTGTGTCATGGGGGTGTGAAGCCAGGAGAGCTGGTTTCTCCAGTGTGGCTTTAACAGGCTGAGTTGCCTGGGTACTCTTTTCCTCTGCCACCCCGGAGATGTCCTAGATCTGTCTCTTATCTTTCCTTCCTTTTCTTGAATGTAGACCAGACATTTTGCTCAATTTGCCCTCTGGGGCTGAAGTATTTAACTAATTGAGGGAGGAAAGTAGAAACTTGAGTGTTTGAGAGCAATCTTTACTTTCGTTTTTTAAACTTTTTAGACTATTTGTCCCTGAAGTCTCGTGGCAGGAGGCTACATGGTATTTAAAATAACCCCAGCACTAAAAGAAATCCTGTGTATCCTCAGGCAGTAAATGCTTGCCCGGACAAGTATTGCATTTCTTCTGTAAATTATTTGGATTTCGCACCATTGCAACAAAATTTCAAAGTGGGAAGTTGCTGTGAAGTGAATCGGATACCAACAAGAGGTTGCAAATGACTATAGAAGTTGTGAGAGGATATACATTCTGATGTATGCAGGATCCAAACATTTAGGACTTTATCTATTCAAATAGTATTTTGGCGACCAGGAAGCTGTTGCAATCTAGTTAGGATGCTGGAGTGTTTTTGTGAGGGATTCCACTGGACGGAGTGTTTGCAGAGTTCTAGCCAGCAGCATCACCCATTGTCCAGGGCAGTGTTGCGTCTTGGATTCTCCCAAATCAGTGAGCTTGGATAACCAGGGAACCAGGCTCAGTTAAGTGTCACAGGCCCCCACCATCCCTTATTGCAGTACTTTCCCCCAGTTTCAGCTTCAGCAAGCTTCCAGCCATGACTAGAGATTAAGGTCAAGAAGGGTGGCCATGTTAGTCTGTCTGTAGCAGTAGAAAAGAGCAAATTCAGGAGCACCCTAAAGACTAACAAAATTTGTGGCGGAAGAGGAGCTTTTGTGAGTCACGGCTCGCTTCTCATACCCTGCTGCTGCTGGAAATTTGGTTAGTCTTTAAGCTGCTTCTGTGCTCTTGTTCTTTTATAGAGATTAAGAGGAAAGTGCCATTATTTAAATCTCAAATGGGTACTGCTTATCAGACTTCAGCATGCTGAACAGCTGGGGAGACAAGACTTGCATGGGGGCAGGCTGTGAAGAGACGGAGTGCAGTTGCAGCGTATTCTTTAGGTCCCCTGTACTAGGAATGAGTAGGAGCTGCAGTGGCTCAAGTGGTTAAGACGCTGAACTGCAGGCTGTGGAAGGTCAGTAGTTCAGCAGTTCGAGACCCGAGTGTGCCGCATGACGGAGTGAGCTCCCGTCTCTGGTCCCAGCTCCTGCCAACCTAGCAGTTCGAAAGCAAGAAATTGCACGTAGATAAATAGGTACCACTTTGGTGGGAAGGTAACAGCGTTCCGTGCGCCTTGGCGTTTAGTCATGCCGGCCACATGACCACGGAAACGTCTTCCGACAGCGCTGGCTCTTCGGCTTTGAAACGGAGGTGAGCACCACAACCCTAGAGTCGGACTCGACTGGCTTTCGAGCAAGGGAACCTTTACCTTTACCTTTTACTAGGAATGAGAAGAACTACTGAAGAATGAGTCTTGCTAGATGTGGACTGAAGCCCATTCAGTTCAGCTCTGGTATTGGGTGGGTGGGTCTCAGCTAGTATATTTATCCCATTGATCTCCAGTCCAGTCATAAATTGATAGTCTCCAGTTGAGAAGCCAGAGCAGATGTCGTCTGAGTGCCCCTGGAGCAGCGGGCTGGCTATTCCTTGGAAGACAGAACACTAAACAAGTAGGGAATCTGCCTTAAGGAGTACTGAGCAGCAGCTCGACCACTGCTTTTAAGAATGTATGAGGTGCCCTGTGCTGAGGCTGGTGATCCATCTAGTTCAGCATCTTACATTACACAGTGGCTAACCACAGGTACCTTGGAGCACCAACAACAGGGCATAGAGGCCAAGGCCTTCCCGTCATGTGTCCTGGCACTGAGCATAAGAGGTTTGCTGCCTTTGAGTGTGGAGGTTCCCTTTGCTCCCCGTGGCTGGCAGCTGCTGAAGTGCCTATCCTCCGTGTAAATAGTTCCTTTTAAAAATTATCTGTACTTGTGGCCATTGCCGCATCCATTTACCATGAATATAATTCCTTGTTGAGTGAAGAAGTACTTCTTTATGCCCACACTAAATCTGTTGCCCATCAACTTCATTGGGAGCCCTGAGTTCTAGAATAATGGGAGTGGATGAAAAAGCTCTTGTCTGTTTTCTTAACCGTATGCATAATTTTATAAACCTCTGTCATATCACCCCTTAGCCTTCTTGTTTCACAACTGACAAGTCCCAGATTTCTTAGCCTTACCTTTTTGAGACAATGATGACCAGATCGGTACTTCTAATGTCCTGGCCCCACTGGTGGACCTCCTGATGGCACTGGTATTTATGGCCACTGTGTGATACAGAGTGTTGGACTGAATGGGCCTTTGGCCTGATCCAACATTGGCATCTCTTATGTTCTTATGTTCTTATTCCAAATGAATCTGTACCAAAGGGCAGTACAGTATTGGCTGCTTTATTTTCAGCCCCTTTCCTAATTATCCCTAGTGTCTGTCTTGGTTTTGGTCACTTCAGACCCCATCAGTATATATTTAAAGTTAGGATTTTTTCACATCATTTTACACTTGCTGACACTGAACTTCATTTGCAATGTTGTTCCCTGCTTGCTCATTTAGAGAGATCCTCTTGGAATGCTTTGGAACTCTTCACGATCTGCTTTGCTTTTCACCATCCTGAGTAACTTGATATCATAGCAACCCTGTGAATTTATGATGTCCAAAACATCCTATCATTAACAGTTTTGCTCAGGTCTCACAAACTGAGGGCTGTGGCTTCCTTTATTGAGTCAACGTAAGAACGTAAGAGAAGCCAATGTTGGATCAGGCCAATGGCCCATCCAGTCCAACACTCTGTCACACAGTGGCCAACAATACCAGGTTATGAAACATACAAAAATATACATATATTTATTGAACACAAATTAAAATAACAAATAAGGGCCCTTTAATACCTCATACAAATATAAAAATACAAAGGCTGATAAAATAGACCTAACGCGTTTCGGCCTTCACAGGCCTTCCTCAGAGGTCTAATACAAATAGAACATGTTGGCTTTTAACTTAAGGAACACTACATTGGGAACATTTGGCTATACAATCTATACAATCTCAGGAGAATATATAGTTGACCAGAGAGAAGTACTACTGGACATGTGATTGCACTGGAGGTTTCATTTGTATTTTTGCCCAGTGGTTAAACTTTGAAACAATTGTTTTCTGGTCTTTATTCCATATTCTGTATATGTATGATTGTATATATTTTTACATATTAGCCAACATGTTCTATTTGTATTAGACCTCTGAGGAAGGCCTGTGAAGGCCGAAACGCGTTATATCTGTTTTATCAGCCTTTGTATTTTTGTATTTTTATATTTGTATATGAGGTATGAATGGGCCCTTATTTGTTATTTTAATTTGTGTTCAATAAATATATGTATATTTTTGTATGTTTCATAATTAGATTTTTAGAGATGGCCCTCTTCTATTCTTGAATAACCCTTTTAGGTTTTGAATTCTAGGTTTTAGGTTCAGGTTTTTTTCCCTTTTCCCTTTTTTTGTCCTTACCGACAATACCAGTTGCCATCAGGAGGTCCACCAGTGGGGCCACGACACTAGAAGCCCTCCCACCGTTTCCCCTCCCAAGGACACAAAGCATCCCTTGCCCCAGACCAAGAGTCCCTATCTATACCTTGTGGCTAATAGCCACTGATGGACCTCTGCTCCATATGTTTATCCAATTCCTTCTTGAAGCCGCCTAATAATTCTGTCTTCCAACAGTTCCTGC